AGCAGCATTCAGCCACATTATATGCTGTGATGTTTACACATGCTCACCTAATGATGTGACTCTTCTGCCTGAGAAAATTCACAGAAGCCCAGGCAACTTGGGTATATAGCGCATTACCCAGCTCCACTAATGAGGAAAGGAAGGCATGGATTCATCACTCAGTGGTAACCTTTTGAAAACCCAATGCTATGTTACTGACAAGAAGTCTTAGCTAGAAGGTCTCTACCTCCATATCCATCCATCCAAGTGGATAGGATATGTCTACGTCAGTCCATCCCGACTATGCTGGAAGACCTGCTTCCTAGCTTCATACTAATTCCTCTGCTAAGAGGATGAAAGACAGAAATGATCCAGGTATTCTTCATGGTCCTGACTGAGGAAAGATTCAGACTGAAGTCAAGCGAAAGTGTCAGAAATAACAGCCAGGAATTCCGACAATGATTCAGCTTACACTCTTAAGATATTATGCCAAGTACTGTGCTAAAGCACAGTGCTGAGAGAAGTCCTGGCTTCTCCTTGGGAAGAAACAGGCTGGTAGGGACTTGGTAAATACTAGTTTGATGAATAATCAACTAAATCATGCCCTGAGTTTAAAAATTGTTTCTGTTGATGTGAGCCAGCAGGGTCTCTGATGCTCAGTGATCTCCCAAATGTTCTCAGTTCACTCTAGCAATTAACAAGGGCAAAGAGAATCTCAAATTACTTTTCAGAATGAAAATAAATGGGAACAGGATACCTTGACAAGAGAATCAGCCCCCCAATACATTCATAGAGATTAGTGCCAGCCTCTGACTGAAGTTGACTGCTTCAGCTTCTAATAATCCTAGCAAGCAAGATCTAAGGAAGATGTAACAAACTTCTACTATTTAGACTCTCACATGTGGGGCTTGCAGGTAGGGATATGTCTTTAATGTAAACAGCAATGGCAGTTGACAAGCAAATCTCTCAATGTGGCACAAGTATCATTTATAGTGCAGAGCCAATATGTAATCTTTGGAGAGCCCAAAAAGCCATCACCTGAAGTGGAGAACAACAGTTTTGACAGTCTAAAATCCAACAGTACTCAGAAAGAAGGAGGAAAGCAGGCTGTTCCATTCACTAGGGGGCTGTAAAGAATAGAGGAGGCTCTGGCTCTGCCCTCTGTGTCAGTGTTCAGTGCCATCCACTCAGGTACACCCTGAGCATGCCTTACCACACATGTTCAGGACTGTGTCCCTCGCGAAAACACAGCTGCAGCAGATTGCTCACTTAGACAGAGGAGCAGGAGGCCACCCAACTCTAATCATCAAAGATTCTGCTCTGGAATCAGCTCCTTCCTCAGCCTGCTCACACTCTCCCAGAGGGCAGCCATAATAGCTAGTTTATAGGCTTTTTTTTGTGGGCCCACCCCCCCCCAGGGGCCAGCCATAATAGCTAGTTTATAGGCTTGTCTGGGTGGAATTCAATGTTTTTTTACAAAGCTATCCTACTGTGCCAAATCTGGTGGTGTCTGCCTCAAATGCACTCTCCATGAGAACAGAATGCACATTTTATGAGAGCAGGAGAGCGTGTCAAAGCAGGTGCAGAATAAACTTCCCTGGCTTTGAAGAGGAAAAAGTGCACAGAGACAGTGTCTTGAACCCATTCTCCTCTTCACAGCCTTATTTAGAACATCTAACACCTATTACAGATTTCTGCGAAGAAATGGTCCCATTCTTGTTACACACAATGAAAGAGTATTGCTGATTTTATTAGGAATTGAGTCAGACTCTGTCACCAAACTAGTCAGTGAACTAGGAAGTGTTGTGGGGGAAGGCTCACTTCTGCTTTTTAAATCCAAAACAAACAGCAATCCAAAACATATTTTCCCATTTCAATTATTTTCCTGATTTAATAAGCCCCTCCTCACTACACTAGGGCAATATTATTGTTTATTGATTAATCATTTTTAGAATGGAATCCCATCTGTTCTGCCTTATTCCTGCTTATTCCAAAGTTTCTGATTAAATAGGGAATAAAATCTTAATATATGCATGGTTCAAATACACTGAAATTAAGGCTACATCTGCTTCTTCAATCTTCTACTTTGTAGTCTAAGAATGAGTGGCTTCTTTACAGAAACTTCTCAAACATTAGAAAATATAAGCACTGCTCTGAATAGGAAGATGTGCAAAGGTTCCTTTACAGTGTTGGTTTTTTTTTTCTTTTCTGTTTCCAAACAGGATTGGAGAACTTCATAAAATATAATAATCCCTTACGTCAGAGAAGACTCACGTCATTTTGATAGCAGTTTCATGCTGGGTTTGATGTGCAGAAAGTCAAGCAAGTTCAAATATTATAAACAACATGATAATTTCTGTTCTTATAGAATAAGACAGCGAAAGTTAGGCTGTGTGGGAGATCTACATTAATCTACATGCACATGCACCAGTGTACATATCCCCTTCCTCTCTTAGTAATACCTCTCTACTTGACATTGTAGCTTTTTTTTTGATGTTCCCAAGTTTAGCTGCTTTGAAACACTGTAATTTCTATCAATCACAGAATCACAGAATGTCAGGGGTTGGAAGGGACCTTGAAAGATCATCTAGTCCAGTCTCCCTGCCAGAGCAGGATCACCTACAGTAGGTTGCACAGGAACGCGTCCAGGTGGGTTTTGAATGTCTCCAGAGAAGGAGACTCCACAACCTCCCTGGGCAGCCTGTGCCAGTGCTCTGTTACACTCAGAGTTCTAATGTTTTTGTGGAACCAAATCAACTGATTTGTACAATTTGCCTAGGGATTTGCATTGCTCTGAAGATCTAAATACCAATCACCATGCCTCTTACTTTTCCTCATGCAGTCAAAGCCTGTCTTAAAACTCATTGATCTTCCAACCCCATGTCCTCTGCTCTTTCTCAAATCTAACAGAACCAGTCTAGTTTATAAAGAGCCTCCCCTTTCCAAACTGTCTCTTCAGTCTCTTCCAGTGTCTCTCCTATTCTTCAGCCATAACCTTCATCCACCACTGGAACATGCTGTGGCACAATCCAATTGCGCCTCCGTTGCTGTGAAGACCCAAGAGGGCTTTGAGTACATAGAAAAGGATCAGGATTCTCATGCCTCTTGAACCCAGCCTTTAGATAGTGCTGCACATAGCACATTTACAAGGAAATGAGAAAAGAAGGACTGAAAAAATTAAACATTACCTAACAGTGCAACGTGAACGTAGTCTATCACTGAAGCTCTGAGTCATGTATGTATGATGAACGTGACCCCACTCAATTCAGCCTAGCTTCTGCATCATCTTTCCCTCAATAGTGGGATAAAGATGTGGAAGCCCATAAAAAAATAAAAGGTCAAGCTAAAGTTATTCAGTAGCCATTAACTTTACTACCAATTCACAAGAAATCCACAATTGTCAATATCAGTCAATGCACTAATTCTGCAATTCCTGTATCATAATGCATGTACACATGATTTACTCCATACTTGCTTTCCATACTTGCCTTCGTAGAGCATAATTTATCTTGGACAAACCACTGACAGATACTAAAAAACACATTGAAAATATCCCCCTTTTTTTTTTAGTTTTTTTCCTGTCCATTTTACAGCATGTTCCAAATATGTGGGAGATAGAAGACAAATCAACAAAAACTCACATGACCCTTCTAAGACTATCCCTATAGCTTTACAGACTTACAGTTTTATAGTCTGAGCATCTTACAGTCATTTCTGCTTGAAACTATTCCTACAGTGTTTTCTCCTAACATATACCACAGTTCTAAAATGTATCCACTTTGGCTTGTTTCTTTGCTTGTGTCAAAGATTAGCGCAGTCACTAGCTACATGAGGTCATATGTGACGAACATTCACCATTAGGTAATGTTCCCTGTGTTAATGAATTCTTGTAAAATTATGTTGATTCTTTTGAGTAAAGAGAGGTATCAATGAATCATTAGGAAAAAAATAGGTTATTTAAAACCAATTCTGCAAGCTCACAAATCATGGAATTCTTTCCCCAATTTAAATGAATGTCACAGTCATAATTGTTAACATTCTTACACAGACTATTCATAAAAGCCTAATCTTACAAAAAAAAAAATTCACATTTTATCACTTTGTGTGTAAGAAATGCTTTTCATGAACAATAAAAACATGTGCACATGCTTCATTTTGTTCCCAGTCAGCTGTCATTTTCTAGTTCTCTCTCACTAACATTAACTTTGGGTTGCCTATATTGCAGGAGACAATCTTTATAAAACTATAATCCAAGTGAAATCTTTATTCTTCTAAATGCTAAATTAGAGACAAACTTAATCTGATATTTTTATATCATATAGGCAGTCTTCAAAGTCTGGGATGTAACTTTATTTTCTTTTTCTTTCTTTTTCTTTCTTTCTTTCTTTCTTTCTCTCTCTTTCTTTCTTTCTTTCCTTTCTTTCATTCTTTCTTTTTTCTTTCTCTTTCTCTCTTTCTCTTTCTCTTTCTCTTTCTCTTTCTCTTTCTCTTTCTCTTTCTCTTTCTCTTTTTCTCTTTCTCTCTCTTTCTCTTTCTCTCTTTCTCTTTCTCTTTCTCTTTCTCTTTCTCTTTCTCTTTCTCTTTCTCTTTCTCTTTCTCTTTCTCTTTTTTCAACTTCATTTCTCTTTGCCACCTCTTTCAGTTATTTTTTCTTCTTTTTCAATCATTTTCATGAGACTTATTTATCTCTAGCTGTTTCTGTTTCACCAGAAAGCAAGTCATCGTGCTGCTTCACAGAAAAGAAGGGTCACCATGCTGTCCTCACAGAAGTCAATGGCAAAATTCCCACTCACAGCCGAAGAAAACAGATATTGTTCTGGTGCATTTTAACTGAAACTCTTCCAGAATTTCTGCTAATAAAATACCCTGTCATTACACCACTTTGCTTTTATTAACTTTCTACTTGTCTGGAATGAAATACTTGAATACTTCAAGAAATTGTGTTTTCTCTCTTCTCCTCTTTCACTTGAAATCAACAAACATACTCCTTTTCTTTTAAAATGTAATATTATATTTCTTACCATCCATGCTGTGACAAAATCTCCCATCCAAGTCCCAACTGCAGCCACCTTCATAAAATTTTCATTCCTGATGCCCATGAAGTCTGTTATAATGTATGCACTGTGGAAACAAGAACACAGACTGTAAGCTATACACGTTTCCTTAATGCAGTTATAAAGAACTTGCTTTACTGACAAAATTTATGATTATCTGTGAAACATTTCCAATTTCCTTCATAATCACTTTTTCTGCTAAGTCTGAGTCTTGACATAGAACTGAGCCAGGACGGGTCAATTCCAATTAGAAATGGAAATGTGAATCTGATTTTACAGCCCATGTTGCCTTTGAAGGTGCTAAAATGATGTTAGGAAAGGGCTTTAGGATTATATAAGGCTTCTGGAAGTACAAACTATTTTACACTTTTTACCTGGTCCTTTGTACAAATGGAATTACAACATCCTTGGAATTGGTGACTTTGCAAAATCTTTATGAATAAAAATTAAAATTTTCAAGCTCTCTTTAAAAAGATAAGTGAGCCACTTGACTTTTCACTCTACCAGTTACATAACCACATAGTTTTTTAACACAACAGTGAAAGTAAGCTTTGCAGAACTTTAGTGACATGTCACTGTTTCTTGATTCACACTATGTATTTTCATAGATATATTTTACTTAGATCCAAAAGAAGCACTTCCATTCTGCTTAAATAATGCAACAGATAGGATTTAAAACCTCAGGCAATAACTTGACCTCTACGTTCAAGTTCATCAAGATGCTATAAGGGAAATTAAGACGATAAAGTTTCTTGTGCTGGATTAAAGCCTTTGTGAAAAAATCGTACATTTTAACACTCATATCCTCCGCTAGAAGACTTCTATAGTGCTTAAGACTCTCTTACGACTCTCCTCATGACGTAACACATTGAATAATGATAGCAATTATGTTTTAACTTCCCAGGTGATATCTTTGTTTATGAGATACCTGTAAGCATTGCTTATATAATGTTATGCCTATTTAAGGACGCACGAAATGACCTAATTGCATGTAACAACTTCTTGAACGTTATATTATCCGTAATGTAAATCTTGGCTTTATTATATACCAAATAAAACAAGGCCAAGTGCCAGGTCCTGCACTTGG